GTGCAATTCGGCGCTGGAATGGTTCCGAGATTATCTGCGAAAAAACGTTGATATTGACATTGATAAGCCTGGATGCGTGGCTGCTTGCGTTGGCAATGTCAACGGTTGCCCTCCAACTGGAACTCCGTTACGAGCCGTTGATTACTGTACTGCCAATGATACGCCTCTCCCACTAACCGGCACCGCGCTCTCGCTTGTCGGCTGGATTATTTTAGGTATGTGTTATTGAAATGTTTTGGTCAGCGTGTTTCACTAACTACGGACGTGGTGGAACTACAGTGGCCAGGGTGACTCCAGGATTTAAACCCCAAGAAAAGCTAATTCTATATTTGACGTATAACAGATTTGCAGCAATTATCATGACAATCTTACTGATCAGCATTTGTTTAATGGCATTAGTTCGATACGGCATCTCACACAGGCGGAGAAAGATGAAGGACCAGGAGGCACTGGAAGACGAACAAAGGATAATGTCAATGACAGGTCTCGAATTTTTTATCAAATCTGAAAGTGGGATCTCAGACGGGCACTCAAACATGTCCTAACACTTTTCAAGCACACTTCCACAGATGCTAGAATGCAATGATGTTCTCATGTGTCGTCTAAGATACAATAAGACTGAGGATTCTGAACTTTGTCTGAGCAATTATTTCTAATTTCTTTAGCAGACTGTGAATCGCGCACTGCGTGATTTTTTTTTCAGGAAGTGGGGCGCCATCAGTGATAACGCGATCCTATGTGCCTCCACCGGCAGTGGACCTCGACTTACCACCAGCTCATTCTCTGGACGACAGATCTACAAATTACCTGTACTGATACAACACCAGACGAACAGAACAATGAGTCTACCTTATGCATCCAGTGCCAGTGCACAACAGGCTACATTAATGCAGCCGTTTTCTGAATGCTCAAAATAAGTGCTTTCATTGTCAGCAATTCCGAATTTGCATCATTCATAAACTGCTATCATGTACATACATACAAACGTATATGTATAGAAACCCACGTCCACTATATAAACATATTATGAGGAAAAGTCTTGGACATAATGGTCCGGCACTTCGGACATCCCTTAAAAATGCTTTTGAGAGGGTAAAAAGCCACATATCGCTGCTGAGACAAATGAAAAATAGCCAAGCATACAC